CACACACACACACACACACACAGACACAAAAGAAGTGCACACCTTCCCTCCTTCATCTGTGGGTCGGGAACCAGCACCGGGAAAGGGAGGCTCTCCTACATCCTGTAGGAGTGGAAAGCCTAGGGAAGCCCATGGTGGACCTCTGCAGAGAAGAAGTTAGATCCCAGGCCCTAGCAAATGCCTGGTCCAGTCTATTCTCAGTGTTGTTGTTAGCTGCCTTTGAGTTGTTTCCAAATCATGAAGATCCCATGCACAACAGAATAAAACATTGCCCGGCCCTGTGCCACCTTCATAATCGTTGGTATGCTCAAATTCATTGTTGCGCCCACTATGCATTCTGAGGGCCTTCCAACCTAGCAGACTCATCTAGCACTACATCAGACAATATTTTGTTGTAATCCATAGGGTTTTCATTGCCTAATTTTCAGAATTAGATCACCAGGCCTTTCTTCCTAGTCTTAGTCTGGAAGCTCCACTGAAACCTGTCCACCATGGGTGGCCCTGCTGATATTTGAAGTATCAGTGGTATAGCTTCCACCATCATAGTAACACATAAGCCACCACAGTACGACAAACTGACAGGCAGGTGGTGGCTACTCTCAGTAAGGCTTACTAAATAAATAAATACAAGAGAAAAAACTCGACAATGTCTGTCTGCCAACTAAAAAGAGCTGCCTAAGGAGGTACTTCTGTCAGTAAATGCAGAAATAAAGCACAGGTGTTTAAAATAATTTCAAATGTATTTTATAAATTTTGAAAAATTAAAAAAAACCCAGATACAGAATCCTATTAATGGGTTTGGCCCCCGGTCAGAAAGAGAAGCTGAAAGAAATAAAAGTTTCTGACTGAAATGGAATTTATTCAATGTCCCAAGGTTTAAAAAGAAAGAAAGAAAAAGAAAAAAAGCTTCCTGTAAATACAATAAAATAAACTTTTAGATTATATTTTAACCTAATGGAGGTTAGACAGTGAAGAAGCTGGCTGTCTCTCAGGCTTCAGGGAGCTCTTTACTTGGCAAACACAGAATTCTGCGGGGGATGCCTCTATGGCATTCCGTGGGACCCTGTGAAGGTAAGAGCATTTTCCCTGACTCTGGTCAACTTCTCTACTCCCTTTGAGTCTCAATTTCCTCATTTTGTAAAATATAAGAATTAAATAAAATAACAAAATATAACACAGTGAACACAGTGCCTGGCACATGGCAGATCTCAATAATACTGGTAAATTTTCTTATTCGTCAAAAAAAATCAGAATTCCAAATTTTTCAGAACATATGCCAATAACAATATTGACGTCAAACTTGGGCCAGCTATCGCTTTATTTTTCTTATAACGTAAAGTCCAGATTAAAGTGTGCTCTCTCAGCTGTTAATGGAATCTACAGCAATTCAGTTGGCATCACCAACTAACTTGTGGGTGGCACAAATGGTTAAGCACTCAACTACCAAGCAAAAGGTTGGTGATTTGAATCCACCCAGAGCTGCCTCAGAATAAAGGCCTCGAAATCTGCTTTGGAAAGATCACAGTCATTGAAAGCCCTATGGAGCAGTTCTCTAATCTTTCAAGTTGCCGTGTCAATTTGATCCCATATAGCTAGATCTTAAAAGAGCATACTAGTTACGTTAACTGCTGTTCAGTTTTAAGATGACTTCATGGGGAGATTTTTGGTTTAAGATTTAAAGACTGTATCAGGGCAAAAGTTTCAGGGGTTCATCCACCCTCTGTGGCTCCAGAAAGTCTAGAGTCCATGAAAATTTGAAATTCTGTTCTGCATTTTCCCCCTTTTGATCAGGATTCTTCTGTGGAATCTTTGATCAAAATGTTCAGCAATGGTAGCAGGTAACATCCAGTTATTCTGTCTCATGGTAAAGCAAGCAGTTGTTCATGGAGGCAACTAGCCATGCATTCCATATCCTCCTCCTATTCCTGACTCTCCTTCTTCTTCTGGTTGCTCCAGGTGAATAGAGACCAATTGTTGTGCCTTGGATGGTGGCTTGCAAGCCTTTAAGACCCCAGGTACTACACAATGAACCAGCAGATGGAAAAGAGGCACTAAACACATTATTAGGCCAATTAA